ATATACATTGACCTTTTATAAAGCTTCTTGTTTTATGCTTTGAATGTGTGGTTAATGCATTTTTTTGTGTGGGTGTGGGTGGGGTATTGGCAGTTTCTGGTATAACTCAGAATGCAGGCTCTGAGCTTAAATTTGTGAAGAAATGCATTTCTTCTGTGTGCTCAGTTTGGTGGAACTTTAAAAAGCATGTCTGAAGGTTTCTGTCTTTATATCATGATTAGAAACTGATGATCACCAGACTAAGGCAGACTCAAACATGGTGGGGGGAAGCATTTTCAGTATGTTACACATATATAATTTTAGCTGCTTAAATTACTAGCAAAGAGAATTCTGAAATGAAAATATGTAAACGCACACAAACACATGGCTGTGTGCATACATATATGTCCGCAATATTCACAAAAATAAAATCCCAGTGCTTTTCCTACCAAATATTTTCCAGCCTTATTATTTTTATCCTCTTTGTTCTTGTGTTTACACAGCCCCACTAAAGATAATACATCTTTTCCTCCCCGTCTGCCCCTCCTCCTCCTCCTCTTATTACCCTCCCTCTTCTGCATCTTCCCATCTCCCTCTTTCCGTCTTCATCTGGATACCTTTCTTTGCTTCCTCCTCCTTGGCTTTTCTTCATTCCCATCATCCTCTTCTGTTTTCTCTCCCTCAGCTCCTTCCCTCTTCTCATGCAGCATTCCTCACATTCTTGTTGGCTTCATAAGGGGAAGGAACCCGCTGGCAGACCAAGGCCAAACATTATTACAGTGCTCCCAGCCTCTCTCTCTGTCGCTCTCTCCGTTTCTCTCATCCTATCTGTCTTATTTTTTTCCCCTCGCTTATCTCCTAAACCACACTGCTCAGGTCCTCTTATCCTCTTCCTGACTTTCCTTTAACTTTTTAATCCCTTCCCTTCAACATTCACTCCTTTATTCATTTTCTCTTAAGCCTCCACTAATTCCATTTTACTGATAGTATCTGTAAGCTCGGACTTTAACTATGTTAAACCAGTTTACTGAGACTGCTGTCTCTCATAATTAGTGGAAATAAGGGTCATACCATTCCCTCTTACGCACAACAGACTCATTTGTGTTTATACCAGAGCATGTGCTGTTTTTTAACGACACACTGTCTGCACATGGTAGATCAAGTATCAGACACAGATGCTCACAGCAAAGGCTCCCCCAAGTTACCCAACGCACACATACACACAGACAGACATCCACTTTACCTGTAAAGTAGATGACATTTAAAGCATCCTAAATGAATTTAATCAGTTGCCTTTTATTTTGTGAGGACTCCAGTTTAGTTTTGCACATTCTTTATTTTTTTATTGTTGTTTTTGTGAAGAATCACTTCTTGTATCAAATGTTGTTGCTTTAGCAGTAGCACATCCCTGCAGGTGGGAGGCAACTTTGTAGCACACATTTGACCACATCCTGCCCCATATACTAAACTGACAAAAAAAGAGCCGTACGTCAAACTTTTCTATGTCATTTCAAATTAATTTACATCTTAAAGGATGACTGATCATGTTTCTAAAAAAAAAAACCTGATGTGCATTGCATCATTTTTCTGCACTGTCTTCATAGCTGTGTTATCCCCTGTTGTATCTTAAGAAGATAACATGGATTATTTGATTTCTTACAAAAGCGTTAATACATGCGATGAGTTTTACAAAAATGTGAAATCATTTTGATTTGAAAATCTCAGGAATCAAAGCATAGCACACTGAAATAGACGCCAGTTCCTATTATTGTTTGTGAAAAATACCAAGTGACCAATGCTGGACAGAGTGTGTATGCATATGTATCTATTCCTCTCTCCCTGTGGGCGGTTGCCTGCTGCGCTGCTTTTCTGTCACCCTGTGGTTTGGTTATTTTCAGCTCGAAACCGGATGTGATTCAGACTGCATGCTAGATTGTGTAATTGAATGGACTAACCACATACACACACACACACACACTTTTTGAACGCGCACAATCGCATAAACGATGCAAACACAAACACACAGGACACAACCCTCTCTCACACACACCGTTATATCGTTAGATACACCCACACACTGAGGGTTTCTGGGAACAGTGCTGGGTTCCCCCCGTTCAAAGAGCCACCCGAGGGTGAGCGAGCGGACGATGAAGCACCACCAGCAGCAGACAGAGCGCTCGTTTCTTGGTTTCAATATTGGTCTTAAACATCAGTTGTTGACCTGGCTTACGCTGAGATCGGAAAAAAGGATAAAACGCTTGCACACGCTCGTGCTCTGTGGAAACAAAAAGGACGGTTAAAAGTGGGGAAAAACATTGTGAAGTGCTTGTGAAACTTATTATAAATGTCAGTTTCTGACTCAAAAAAAAAAAAAATTTAAACGGTACTCTACAGATGGTGCTGAATTAAGAAGAGTGAGGAAAAACAGGGAGTAGATAGCGTCTCCAAGCACCTCCGCCATGCATGAAGACATTCCCTGCGGCCTTATTTAAAAATAATAATAATAATAATTCAAACTAATTTCTAGCAGTTTGGTGTATTAGTTTATGTTTTAAAATGTCTTCTAAATGTGAATGTTTGACAGGAAGTTCTGGGAGGAAGTTTGTTTTGCAGGTACAAACAGAGGTTTGATTTTTATGGTGCTACCCTGGAGAAATTACAGATTTGCAAATTATTGTAGAAAAGGGCCAGAGAGGTTTACTGAATCATGCAGACCACAGTGGAGTGGTTGTGACGCGAGGATGTGTGCGATTCACTGTCAGTGGCCTCTACCAGAAAACTGCCTCTTGATTCTAGGAAGACTTTGGGCTATAAGATTTGACAAGGCAATGTTCCTGCGTCACGCAGGCTTCCACAGCAGCGTGTTGTACTGCAAGTGTGTGCGCTTGAAAACTGACAGGATGCTCTACTTCCTTGGTGGTCTGAAAATGTCAAGAAAAAAATGTGTATCTGCACATCTGAACATTGCACAGAACTTAGTGTCTTTAATCTCTGAAAAAAAAAAAAGTAGTCTGCATTACCGCAGGAGAGAATTACAAACATTCAGTCCTTCGTTATTATGAGGGAAAATAAAGATAGCTAGACATCGTGAGCATCTATTTGGATAGTTTTACCCTGATTTTAACTGTTTCAACTGTAAAAGTCTATTATGACTCAACTTTGTTAAGGATTATGTCAGCCTGCTTTATTTACTGCCACATCCCTCGTTTAACCGTAACTGCTCTTAATTACCCCCTTTTTCTTTTGATATTAGCAGTATCTGCTGTATCAAGGCAAGGTGTGCACCGATTACAGTGGAGTTATTTTTACTGTTATGCCTGTAATACTTAAAAGTTCATCAAAAACAGCTGACAAATGATGACTGAAAGCAAAGTTCTTCGTGAAAATTAAGCATTTTAAAGAGAGGATTATGGATAAAGTCTTTTCCCATAAATAGCAGGACTGATCACGTCAAGCCACCAGCAACCATGATCTCTCTTTCTGCACAACATACTTGAAAGCACAATAGGAAGCTTGTTCACATTTAATACTCAATTAGCGTGAACAAGCTATTGAAAAACTACACAAAATGTCCATGTTTCTACATGACTGCATTTTCTTTCATAACAGACTTCCTGCTTGCTCTACCACACGAGTGAATCGGGTGCAGTTTTAAACACACAGATTTACATTCTTCACGTACAGGAGCAAGTAAAGTCATTTGTATTTGTAGAATCGAGACTACAGTATATGGCATTGGTAATTTGGCACATAGAAACTATCTGAGACATTTTTTATGAGGGCCCCTTTAAACAGCCTTACTTTGTTTTTCCTGCTGTTCTTTGGGACAGCAATGAACGTTATTCAGCTTCAGCTCCAACTGCAGATTAATTTCCAAAGATTAATGTAAAGTTATTTCCTGCGCTCCCACAGTTCAGTTTTGTTAGGAAATATCTCTAATACTTACCTTTGTGATTCTATATAATACTGTGATAGTGGTCTATATAAGTTATTTAGGAAACAAATCTGAAATAGCTTCATAACTGAGCACTGCAGGCAGGAAATCAGAATTACAAAGGAAACCAAACCAGGTTCAAAAATTGTTTTTGTTTCCTGAGAAAATACTTGCAGCTTTTATGGTTTTGTGCAGAAACTCACACAGACTCGAGTTTTAATGTGCACCCAAACAAGCTAATTTGTTCGGTGCTATAATGGTTTTCATTGCACATTAGCTCAATGGTGTATGACTGTAATCAGAGATTTTCTTGTCCACACCTACACCACAGACAGACAAAGTTAATGGAGTGGGGGGTATGAGGCGTTTAAAAACGCTATTCAACAGTATGTAATTTACTGTAAGTACAAGCTCAGGAATCAATATGCAGGACAACTATTTATATTCACTGTACTATAAATAAAGTGAGCGCTAAGAAAGGTATTGCACAGCAGATCTGTGCAAGTCAGTGCTGTAGTGATGGAAGTTCCATTTTGACCAACATCTGTCTCATCTTGGAGGGTCACATGTTGCCGTATCCTGACATGAATAACACTGTGTGGGTTGTTTGTTGTTTTGGAAACATTTAAGCATTTATGACAAATAGTAAATGTTCGCAAATAGAGCCTAATTTTGTTTTGGTTTTTTTTCTGGGGGCCTCCAAAAGAACCCTGGAGATCCCAGAGCCGAGTCACTCTGCTTGCTGCTGGAAGTTCTTGACAGCAGATGGAGCCACAGAGAGGGAGCTATTATTTTATGTGGCACAAAATCCCCATCTTATTTGTAAGAAAAAGTAATAAAAAAAAGAAAAAAAGAAAAGAAAAAGAAATAAAGTTAAGAACGCCATACAAGTTACGAGCAGTCAAACGCGGAGCGTGCACTTAAAGGGAGTGAGTCGGTGCGGGAAAACAATAGTCAAGAAGGTCCTGTGTGAAGTCAAGGCTATTTTTGGTGGGGCCCGCCTCGCCTGCTATTTCTGTCAGCAGGAGAGCGAAGGGGAGGGAGCAGGGCTTCGAGGGGGCCGGACTTACTTCTCTGTAACTTGCCTCCGATAAGTTCCTGTTTCGGCTCCTCAGTCAGTACAGGCTTCACTGACAATACCAGCGGACCTCTCCATCTCGCTTCCATCACGTTCCGTCAGCTTTTTGGCTCTTTTTACTTGTTCAACGTTTCAAAAACAGACTCCGATACAAGTTGGATTATCTTCAAGTGTGACTGGACTCTTTGAAGGGGCCGTTAGGTGTAAACGGGCTCCAGTTTACAAGGTAGGCAAGCGCTGGTGGTGACACGGTCCGAGCAGCTGAAAGTTTGATAAATGTTCTTAAATTTCGGGCTGTTTTGAGTCGGGCTTTCGACTCGTCGGGCAGGTGCAGTATGGCGTTAAGCTACGTGCGCAGGTGAACTCTTTTAATTGCTCGCGAGCGCTTGGAAAAGTGTCACGCGCGCGCATCTTTGATGAAAACTTAAAAAAAAAATTTGGTACTTTTCTCGAGCTTTAATTTATTTCATTAGTCTTTTGTACATATATGTTACATAAAGTCACCATAAACTCCAACAGTCGTTTTAAAACATGATTTGCATTACAGCTCAAGTCATTATGAAGCAAGAAAGTGACTTTAAAGCAAAGTGCCGTTGACAAGCTGTAAATCACGTAAATAATGTCTGCCTTCCTAAACAGAGTAAGGAGTGCTTTGTTGAAACTGCCGGAGGTGTGTTAACCACAAACCTACGTTTCTTATCAGTCATTTCTTAAGATAAGATTCAAATATTATTTACTTTTGGCCCCAGTGAGGTTGAGCAGATGTCGGCCAGCATCACAGTTTAGCAGCAGCACCTCCGCAACCCAGTTTAAAGTGCAGGTGCACTGTTCGCGTACTTTTCTACGACTGGGATTATCGTGCGTGTGTGTGTGTGTGTGTGTGTGAGAGAGAGAGAGAGAGCGCGCGTGTGTGTGTGTGCGCGCGCGCGCGTGCTTGCGTGGTACAGCCCAGACCACCACACACTTTTCTCATCTTTTCTATCCATATGTGGGTCAAAATAGTGCACTAGACCTGTGGTTGATACATCACATGAGCAGCTCACATTGTGCCAAGTGGCAGCACATGGCAGTGGTGAAATCTATTAATACACACCTGCAAGAAACGTTGTCACCTCTCTCTTTAAGGCTGGTATTAAAACTGCTTTGTTTATTGTGACATTTTTAGAAAAGATTCAGAGGTGAAAGCTGCCAGTTATCAACTGTGTTTGTTTTTTTTGTTAGCTTTTTTTGTTTTTGTTGTTTTGTTCTGTTCATTGTTGTTAGATATTGTGAATATGAGCTCCAGTTCAGTGATATACTTTTGTCTTTGTCCCCACAGATGGAATCGGCACCTCTGGGAACATCGTAAAGACTGACAGACAGGACAGCGTACTTCCCACAGTGGCAGGTTAGACCTTAAACCTCTGCTGAAAATGTTCAGAATGCAGTTCTGATTTAATAAGTAGTTGGGTTTTTTGGTAATATTTTACTTGAACCTCTTAAAGTTAGGCAAAAGCCATTAGCGCTGAAACGCTCTTGTGGAAAAAGATGCTGCCGCTCTCCAGGCAGTCCCTGCTCACGACTACATCTTGTTTTCTTTACATCATTTTCTTTTTAACATGTGCACACACACACACACACACACACACACACACACAGTGTATGCAATTTGGGTGACAGCAGTTTTTCCACAATGATCTAAGCTGCAGTAAAAGTAGAGAACAGGTGCTGGCCTAGTTGGAAAGACGCAGCCTCCTCGGCTGTGTTTTTCATGTGGGTTTAGAAGTTAGTTTTGCTGCAGGTCATGCAGAAGTTTAATTGAACATGCGTCACGCAGTCCTACAAAAATGTGTGAATGTAAATTTACCACATGAGCTATTTATTGTTTAGTAAACGTCCAATAGCATCCGGTTTTAGTTAGTTTCCTACTAAAACAAAAGACTTAGTTCTGTGTTCGAAATAATATTAGGAAATCACTGGTACCAGTGTATAGTACAGTAGAGGGATTCACTTCACTTTTTATATTTTCACTTCCAGGATTGTGTAAGAGTCATCAGTTAGAATTCTGACGGTCATTCTTCTTGGCACAAAAGCTTCTCACATAAACATCTGGAGATATCAAAACATATTTCCTCCTAATTATGGCTGATTGCAACTGTTTCTTTCACAATGTGGTCATGGTTAGATAATGAAAATGTTCGCTTTGACTACTAGTGTGATGCAGGACGTGAACTTAGGCTAACCCTTTAGCACTCATTTCAAGAAGCCACCATCTTTCCAGTAAAATAAGAGCGGGCTTGTTACTTTTTTTTGTAATAGTGTCAAATTTTCAACAATTTTCAGCAACCCTTCCTGTCATGTATTCATCTGTTGTGCCTCTCTTTAACAAAAAGCCTAGTTGATGCTTTTTTTCTTAAATCTGAGCTCAAAAAGTATTTGATCTGCTGCTCCAAGCATCAGAAACAAGTGACCCAGGCTGGCACTTTTAGTCCTGCATTTTTAGTTTAGATTAGCATTCTCTGCTGTGAAGCATGCCTGTGTGATCACCCTGTGTAGGATTACAATGCATGACTCTCTGAATGAAAGCCGGCTCTCGCTGTGCCAGGCTCTGCTGACTGCATGCTAACCAAGGACCCACTATGGGCTTTGTGTGTCTGCGTGCATGTCTCTGGAAAAAAAACAAAACAAAAAAAACCCCATTGAGGTCATGGCCGTAACTGCAGAGTCTGGTTACATGCGTGTTGTCCACACAGGGCAACTGGCACTGGCTCTCTATCCTTTGTCTTTCTCTCTCTAATTTCTCCATCTCAAACATGCACACCTCGCTTTAAATCATTTGGCCTGTGGAGTGCATTGCCCTTACGCCAGACGTCTGAAGTCGGAGATTGGTTAGCGATCTAAGGTGGCGGCAGTCTGCGCCAGATGTGCATAACATGTGAAACCACCATTTTAAAAGCCTCTGGAGCTCAAACAGCCCTTTAAACTACACAGAGTGCTATAATAGACCTCCAGGGTTACGTCCCACTTGTCCTGCTGTGTCTGTAATAGCCCTGAACCCTAATTTTCCACATACGTGAAACAAAAAACACGCAGAAGTGCTGTTCACTTAAAGAATAGCTTGTAATACTTGGCTCCTGTAGCAGTTACCAGAAGTGAGAGCATACAGGTATAATGATGATTTCGGACAAGTTTCACAATGGCTTTCAAAAGCTATGTCTATTAACTCATTCACTGCCAGCCATTTTCAAATCAGGTAACTCCCCACTGCCAGGGTTTTTGAGCATTTTTACTCATTTTTGAAGAGCCACAGAAAACTGTGTGTTATGACCATATAAACGCTGAACCTACCAAAATGAAGAACAGACTCTCTTCTTTCATCCAAAAAAAAAGCTTGTTTCTACCATTTTCCATTCTTTAGTAATCAGCTGTAGAAGAGAGGTGGGTTCCACCAAAAATGCCTGTTTTGACCAAAAAAAGGGAGAAAACGAGCTTTTTGTGAAAAATGCATTTCAAGCAGAAAAGTGCCTTTGACACTAATATTTCTTGCTTTGTGACACCTCTAACATATAAAATAGTTTTTCACTTCTATAAAACAGAAATAACACTGAGAAAGGTTGTTTTATCAAAACAATTTATTTACAAATATCTGAAAAAAAAAAATTTACATAGTGAAACATTTATTCACAATGAATAATTCACTTTTGTGTGGTAATCATTATAACACTTTCCGGGATGCAAGGGCACACAACAAGACTTGCACCACATTTTTGTCTCACTACGCAATCCCTTACGTGCGCAAACCCTGCACCTCCTTGCAGGTCTACTTTTACTGCTGGTGGGCTTCAGTTTTTCAAGTTGGTGCCTGCCTAGGTCAAATCCCACACCTGCCCCCTCCCATTGAAAAACGTAATTGACGTCTATAGACGTCAATGGCAGTCAAAGTAAGTTTTTCAATTGACGTCTATAGACGTCAATGGCAGTGAATGAGTTAATAAAAAGACCTTCACCTCATATTCAACGTCTTCCTCCAGCAGCCTTTTCCTCTACACGCCCTAGAAATGAAAAAAGACACAACTCTTAATCCTGCAAACAGAGATATTTCAAAATAGTTCAGTTTTGTTTTTTTGTTTTTTTTGATTGACCATAGTAATGTTATTTTTCAATAATTGTTTTCCTAATAAGGAGTGAAAAAACTGCCTTTTTCAGGGCTGTCAGTGAAATCAACAAAAATTCCTTACAAATTTCTTCATAGGAAATACGACTTATTGCAGTTTGCATGTGTACTCTGCTCATTTTCTCAGGCCTTTACTCTATGGATCGCTAAATGGAGTAACTCCAACAGTCATGCAGTGGAGATCACATATCCTAGTTGTGGTTTCCAGCCACATTGGTCAGCTGATCTGGGCACTGTGTTTCTTTTAGTTACCGGTTCCTGTTGAATTAAAGACTCAACTGGAGGAAAGTTGATAAGCAACAATCAATCAATCATTACCTCTAATGCTGGTAATCGTTCTCACTTATTTGTATATCTAAGTAACATGATTCCTATTGAAACATTTAATCAGCAGGTTTAGCCTTTTATTGAGTTGATATATCACTAGAAGACTGTAATGTTGCAGCTGCTAGACTGTTTATTTAGAGCTTAATTGTGCTCCTTCTTGAATTTCCAGTTTGCGCTTTGGCACCCAAATAGCATTAGGTCATTCATCCTCTGCAGCTGCAAATTCAAAAACGTACTGACGTTTTGTACTAATGAACAACATATACATTAAGGTGATTTTGAACTCTAATACCCGTTAAAGCCAGATGGGAGTGCAGACACAAGCTGTTCAGTAGTCGAGGTAGTAATGGTTGTAACAGTAGACGGCGTTGGAGGTTTGGCGGCTATTTTTGACCTGCTGAACAAATGGCTCAATTGTCCTGCCTCGAGGTGCATGAAATCACTTGATATGTCAGGGGGTAATGTTATATAATACTCTCCAAGGGGGGCTCACAGGACTGTGTTTGTGTGTGGTGCAGTTGTCTACTTTTTATTTCATTTTAGAGCGTGTGTGTGTGAGTTTTTCTGTGTCTGTGTGACAGGCTGCACATATTTAAAGTATTTTCTTGCAAGGGGACTGAGAGACTGTAAGAGTGTGCGCTGTGGCTTGAGGTAAGAGTGTCCTCAACATTTTATTACTGTGTCAAATCAATTCACGTTGCATTAACCTTTGAGCTAAAATCTTTTTGCTGTGGTCTGCTGGGTAACTGGTCTCTTATTGGCCTCCAGCCTCACTCTGATACCTCCCCCTCCCATTTCTCTCTCACTTCCATGCACACAGCCGTGTACATGCCGAGGCACGTAATTCGGATTAAATTTACTGAAGTCAATGGAATTCTTTCTTCTAAGGATTTATTCCTGTGACATTCAGGGTATAAAAAAACGCACAAAAAAAATCCCGAAACACTCAATTTTCACCTCAGTTACAGCCACTGTGCCAGACGAGAAGCCCTGGATCTAAATCTGTTTCTGAGTTCCAAACTTTAAGGAAGCTGGGGTTGTTCCCGTTTCCCACTATTGGTGAGAAACAAATACACGGAAAGTAAGATGTCCTAGCTTTAATTAGTATCCTCTTCCACCACCAGTGGCTGGGTTTTGCTGGAGATTTCTTCCTGGTAAAAGGGAGTTTTTTCTTCCCACTATTGCCTAGTGATTGTTTCTAGGGGATCATCTGATTGTTGGTGTTTTCTCCAGCTACTGTAGGCTCTTCACCTTGCAGTATAAAGCACCTTGAGGTGACTGTTGTTATGATTTGGTTCTATATACATGAACTTTCATTGAAATAAACTTGAATCAAAGGACACATTTTACTATTTGTGTACCATTTATTTTAAAGCTAATTTGCTTTTGTTTATACAATTAATACTTAAGTCACCGATCCTAAAATATTCAGGATCAGTGACCTTGTCTTTGTTCTTTTTTCTTTGAAATGGTTAGTTGCTGACTAAACATTACATATGTAGAAATAAAAATCAAGAACATTCATGTAACAGCCCTGAACAAAAAATAAATTTAGATGTTAACTGAAGCATTAAAGTTCTTTGCAGATACAGGTCCATCATTAATGCTAATCATCTTGCTCATAGATAATAAGTTAGCCTGATTCCTGATACTGTAGAAGCCACATATCAGTCACAAGTTCTCCGAACCAGATGATACCGTCTGATCTAAACGGCTCAACCAAGTCATGATTCAGCTCACACCGACTGATGCTGACCTCGGATCAGATGGCTTGTTGTAGGTGCGGATGTAATAGGATCTGACCGGACTCCTGACTTTACATGTGACTCCACGTGTGTGTGTGTGTGTGTGTGTGTGTGTGTGTCTTGATTATCTTCAGTGACGTTTACAGCTTCAGGCTGATTTCT